TTGACTACGGAATGATCAATAGATAGGAGTATAGGGAGGATGTAACCGATGAACAGGCTATTAGGCGTTCATCTCTTAAGCACCTGATTCCACCTGCAGAATTTCAGGAGTTCCCTGATTATCGCCCTCTTTTGTAGTTTTTGTCGTTTGTTTTTTTTTCTGTAATTTTTAACGTTAAAAGTTCTATTGGTGTCCTTCTTAGATGGCTGTTTACGATGATGACAAAATTATCAAGATAGATCAATTAATGGCCTGCGCCAAAGAAAGCTTCCTGGCCAACATAGTACGATCTTACATTTTTACCATAAAACACAGCATGCTAAGATGTTCATCCACAGCTTCTCTCGAGTACATTCTGGAAAATGGAGCACCAAAGGTGAGTACTTCTCTTTCATGCAATGCTCATTTTTATATTCCTCATATTGTAAATCAAATGCATATAACCTTGGTTTAAAAAAAACTCAATAAATTATTTGCTGAACAATTGCTTAACCAATACCCCCGGACTGATTTCTTTATTTCAGCGTTTTGAGACCCCTGGAAGTGGATTCTGCATCACTACACCGTATCAAACAATTCAATCTATTTTCGTCCGTTGCATTGTAGTCACTGTACTGACTAGTGAGAGTGATTTCTATTTTCAGTTTAAAACAAAAGACTTAAAAGGTATATTACAATTTGAATACAATAAATGTCTATTTCGGTGTTGCATTATTAGAAAAGATTAAATAACATGTAAATATAAATATATTTCATAACGTATTATCATTATTTATACTCCTCACGCAAATTTCTTACATTTTGGAGGTCCGTGTTTGCTCAGTGCTCCTATTTTGTACTTTTATAATGGTTTTATGGACTTTTGAGCTTGAATACTGCTCGTTATCTCCATATATTTCATTAATAATTCTAGGCACCTTTGTTGCTGGAGATGCTGTGGTCATCACTGGATATTGGTTACAAGGTATTTCTACTCTCTCTCTCTCTCTCTCTCTCTCTCTCTCTCTCTCTCTCTCTCTCTCTAACACAAAGGTTTTTGTTTCATTTTAATATTATTGAACTAGAAAGCTGTTATTTTCAGAACCATATACACAATATTTTACAACAACAGGAACAGATATTGTTTCTTCCGAAAATGTCACAAAGCTAGATGTTAATACGACTTTAAATGATTTAATGACAACCACTGTAATATCTTCAAATCACAATGAAACAACATTGGAGACTGGGACTACGGGGTACACAAGACCAGAAAGCACAAGCTCATCAGACAAAATAACAACTACCTCAGATGGGACGGTTGTTGAAGCAACGACGATAATGACCACAAGTTCAGATGTAGAACTTTCCTCTGTCACAACATCTACGTCTGAGCCTTCAATTACAGCTGCAGTGACCACGGCATACCAAAATAATACTGAAGAATACTTAAATAGTACTCTGAGTACAGGATTATATACAACAGAATACAATAACCTAGATAAATTTAGCACGCAGGTAGGTCATATATTATCACTGTAGCTGATATTATAATTTATACATCTCCAATGAACTCAGATTAATTGCAAAGATTAATCTTAATCGTTATTATGATTATGTTTCATAAAAAGATCACCGAATTTTTTTTTGTCATTGGTTTATATTCAGCAATTCTCTTTTTAAAGTGTTACTAAGATTGATTTCGTTTTTATCTTGTTTTTTAATGAGATGATAATCTTTAAGTAGCAGAAGAACATCTGTATATTATATTATTTCTCGGGTTTAACTAAAACAAATATACAAATAATTTGTTTTCCTTTCTCTTTGTCCATTTATTTTTATCAAGTATCATTATTAAGGCTTCAGTTGAAAAAAAAAATTAGGAGAATTTTCAATCCAGTAAAAAATTATTGGCTTACGTTCTGTGCACATATTTTATATAAACAGACAACATTAGAGGAGGAAACCATACTCGTTGGATTTTGTGTCTGTAAATGTACCGGATCAGGTTACAATTACACAGAGGAAGAACTGGCTGATAGAATACTCCAAAGAAAAATAGAGACTCAGCTGATTAAAAAGAACCTGACAGCATATTACAGAAGCCTGACCTCAGCAAATGACCAACGAATGTCATCCCAGTGCATAGGTTATATAGGATCAGTCATTCTGGTTTCTTGTCTTTGTCTGCTTACATTTTGTGATTTTCGAAGGTTCTTGTATTACTGCATAATAGAGAGACACCTCAGAAAACATGTTAGTTAAGTATTAATTACCATATTCAGATTTAATTTGTATATATTCTGGTGTATTATGCATTTCTGAGGATGTTTATATGAAAAATCGTTTGTAAATTCTAATGAGAAATGTCAAAGGATTTTTCCGTTAATTCCTGATCATGACGAACAACACACAGTTTGCACGACTGGTCGGCAAGGGTATGTTCACTCCTCCATGGCACCTGATATACCAGAAAAATGCAAATGGCAAAGCTAAGGAACTGTGATCGATCTAAAAAATCTTATGTGAAGAGGGCTTGAACACAGATCCCTGGAAATTCAACACGTGGTATCAGGTACTCAAGATAAGTGAACAGTCCGTGTTTGAAAAAAAAAACAAACACGTTACAATTAGTACGAAACGAGTCAGCAAGAATGCGACAAAATATGTTATATTTGCTAAATGGGTAAATAAAATATAACGGCTATACAGGTGTATATGAAATGCCGCCTTTAAACGAGAATGTTGAAATCCATGTGAAACAGACTTATCAGTGAGTAGCTTGACTCGCTTTAAAAATTGCTACTCAAAGCCAGCTTTTGAGTAGCGAATAAGTCTGGAGAGACATATATGTAAGCACCATAAGTTGGTAATAGTGGACTCAGTAAAGAAAGTTGAGGTGTTCTCGTTTGTCATACAATTTGTTAAATACCCTTGATCGTGTTTAGTCAGTAAAATCTTAATATAAACAAAATGTGGCATACTCTGTGGTGTCTTTTATTTCAAGTTCACTGGGATATATCAAGTAGCTATAGACATACAAATAAGAAAAGCTATTGTAAATTGCTGAAACATCGTGGATATATCTGAAGGTTCGAACTGAGGGTCACATGTAGTGTTCTCCTCTTGTTATGAAGAAGTCTTTGTTATATAGTATTCTGACTTGAATGTATCATTTATGTACATTTTAAATATTTTAATTTGTTGTTAAAGCAATGCTTTCTAACCCCATTTCCTGGTTTGCTTAAGAAGGCTCAGGCCTGGGTTGGTGTGACCATCTGATTTGTTGTCTTGATTGTCAATAATATGAATCGTAATCTTTTTTATTGAAATTGCTTCTAAGTGATAGAGGTCACTTTCTTTCATTATTGTTTCATTCGACTTTAAGGAGAAGTTGATAGATAGCAATCCTTTATCTTATTTACGATAATATCAATTTTGTCAGACACGTTTTGCTGTATTCTGTAGATTCCTCCACTTGTGTTTCAACACATTAAAATGACTTTTTAATCTTCACATCATGATTTACAGTAATTGATCGACAAACAAAATCATAAAAGATACTTCAAATCAAACAACAATAATTCAGTGTATGTTCCAGTCGTGTAATTTATCCATTAATTTATGTGTTTTGTACAAAAGTCTTTTGCCCAAATGAGACGTTTATACAGTCCAAGCACTAGTCTTCTTTCCTAAAGAGATTCATTAAACATTCAGACAGCAAATAATTTAGTAATGAAAATTTATTATCATTGACATTTATATGTACGTCCTTTTCTTTTTGGGGTATTACATTCATTTATTCATCCAATAAATAGAGGTCAGAGGCAATATCTGTTGCATTTTCAACAGAGCTAGGAAGATGCATGTGCGTCTTAGTTCAACAATGGTAATTAAAGTTTACTTGAGAATGGAATGCTCCAAAAATATACTGTAGATTCATCATTGTAGTTGATAAGTTGAAATTAAAGAAAAAATATTTAAGAAAATTATTAATAGGTCACATTTAATAGCCAACGTGAAGGAATGCTTTCTAGGATGCATTATTCTAGTAAGACTGATCAAGTTAGGAGTCGTTGTTCTTAGAGATTTGGATATGTCTATATCTTTTTTTTTTTTTTTTTGATGCATAAATTTATAATGCTAGAAAATACTAATTTGAGACGATTGAAAAGCATTCTTTCATTATTGTTCTAATACGGAGTTATTTTTTCAATGATAATCTTCTAAATATTAGCAATGGAAATAATTAGATTTAACGAGGAAATAATTAAATTTAAGAAGGTTAGTTCCGTCATAATATGCCTGTAACATTAATCACAGAGGAATATTTACAGCAGTGAATACCAACGCTTCTTGAGGTTGTATAGACACGACCTTGAGAGAGGGGTTGTTTTGTATTATTATGTTCACAAACAAACAAGTGCAATAATCTTTAATCTTCAAAATCTGCATAATTTTTTTTTGAAATCCCAAATCATTTGAAATGAAAAAGGGAAAGCACCTAAAATGTTCTACCGAACACCTGACGATCTGTTTTCGTTGCACCATATCAAAGAATCGTTATCATTTTCGTTAAGTTATACAATGTACCATGAACACATGGAAAGTACAATTAACACATTGAAACATGTCCTATAAAATAAGAAAAAATCCTTGTTTGTTTCATCATTTTTTAAAATTTTCAAAAGCATTTAATACCCTTGTATAATGTATACCAAATGAGCTTAAAACTGAATATTTTAGAAGAATCTTTAAAAAATGGTAAAATATGTTGAAAATTAGTGATGTTTTAAAGATGATATTTAATATAGGTCAAAGTATATCACATGTTCTAAAGTCTCATATTATCATAATATTCCCCCAACATCGAAGATAATTTCTCCCATTTTTTTTTAGAAATTATTTATTAAAAGAACTAATATTGAGAGCTCTTTTACATGCCTTCCGCATTTTCCTGTAGATAATATAATCGGAGAAACTAAAACTGCACCCACTTTATCTTGAAAACACGTGTACAAGAAGGAGTGCACAGAAACGCCGTAATTTACGAGGTCTTGTTGTACGTGTAAAGTGATTATTACGTTACTGTGAGGTGAAGGCTACGGTCTTCGTTAATTCAATTACTTCATTAAAAGTTACTTTCATAATAAACGAAAAAAGTCTTTATATTTAAAGTTGCTTATATTGTTTTATTATCTTATTGTAAATGGACAGACCGTTTATTTTGTTTT